GAAGACCCAGGACACGCTGGAGGGACTATGTCGCTCGGCTGGCCTGGGAACGCCTCAGCATTCCCCCGGAGGAGCTGAAGGAAGTGTCTGGAGAGAGAGAAGTCTGGGCATCTTTGCTTAGACTGCTGACCCCGCGACCCGGTCCCAGATAAACGGAAGAAAATGGATGGATGGATGGATGGAGGGAGGTTTCTCTACCTACCTGTGTTAGTATAGCTGGGTCTGCTGGTGGTGGTGCTCATGGCAGTGGTGGTGCCAGCTGCCCAGCTGTCCCATCCGCCAAGCAGGTCAGGTTGGCTGGCTGATGATGTCATCTTAGGGACATCATTTGCTAGCTTGTCTGTTTAGACACAAACATCCAAAGTATTACCAATTACAAACTTTAGCATGCTACATTTAGCCACTAAATGTCAACAGAAGGAGCAATGGAACACCCATATAAGGGTTTGTAGAAAAAAGGAAAATGATTTGTCAAAAAGACAAACCAAAACAAAATAAAACAAAAAACACAGAAGATTTTAAGAGATTGTAGGGAGTTCTGTTGCTGGTGAGTTGGAGTGAGGTGTGTATAATCATCATATCTCTTTGAAGCTGACAGTGAGCTATGATGAAGCAGCAGAGGTACATTAGATATTTGGGACATAATGCTGATTTACTTACTGAGGTTAAAGAGGCTGGTGTTGGAAGCAGGAGTGGGGTTATTGTGCGCTGAACTGAAGCCGCTGGTGGCTGAACTATCAGAACCCAACAAGTCTCCAAACAGGTCTGGTCCAGAGGCCTGCCTAGATGAACCCAAACTGGAGCCGACACCGGAGCCAGACCTCATCCCAAATGGATCAAACAGGTCACCCATGGCTGGAGCACAGACACAAAGATGGAAGATAAGTGGAAGATTTTTTTTAACAGTTTAATCTGCAACTTAAGCTTCCACTCTTACGTTTTGGGTCTGCTGAGGCCCCACTTGTTGGCTCACTAAAGAACAAGTCTTCCTGTACTGCCCCTGTCTGACCGGCAGGTGGTGCAAACAGGTCATTAAGGAGATCGCAGTTGCTGGATGCAGCTTTCAGTCCGTCCTGGACTTCTTGATGAGGAGTAGAGGAGGAGGCCGAGTTCAAACCCAACAGGTCAGCGGTGTCACCAACAGGAGATTCCTGGGCTGCAGGAGGGGACGTCTGAGGGTGAGACAGAGACACCAAGAAAAAACTGAAATGAATGGATAAGAAAGACTCCACTTCATAACACCGTCAGGTTGCATGATAAAAGAAGTCATGCTGTATTAGGGGCATAAAATGGTATCAGACATCCAGGACTTTTCCCCACCTGGAAATCAGCATCAAACAGCGGTTCACTGGGGTCACGTGACAGTGGCTCCACACCGGGGCCAGAATACGAGCAGGACTCTCCTTCTGACTGATCACTCAGCTCCTCCTGGTCATTTATGGATGCCCCTCCTTGACTGTCTGAGGCATCCTGAGGGCCACTCACATCTACATATACAAGAAGCTGATCAGTGAGATTTTAAGGCACTTGTTGAAATCAGACAGCAAGGGGCATGGTGAATCAAGAGGTGAAAAAATCTTTTATGGTTTGTCTGGAAAAACTAAGGCAGGGACCATAATGGAAGAATAAAGACATTAACCAGAATAATGGGAATGAATTTTAAATTCAAAATATTATCATGAGAAGATAAATATAGTACCTTCCCAATCTAGTGTCTGAAAGAAGTTGTTGGTATTGCTGCTCTCGAGAGACTGTTGTTCTGTTGCATTGGTGCCTTCTGGAATCTGAGCTGGCTGGGGCGACTCTGAGTCATAAAACGCTGAGGAGCCTGGCTGGCGAGGCAGCTCGGGCTTACCTGCAGTGATTAAGGTTTACCATTTAGTTTACTGTATATGAGTGAGCTCAAAAAATGAGAGAAAAATATGTTTCCAATGAGCTTGGAAACAGAAAAGAAGAAAGATGTCTAAACCTTATCCCACCTACCAAATTTGCTGAGGATCTCCTGCTGTTCATCACGAGAAGAAAAAAGGATTTTGGGGTTCAGGCCCTTGGTTTGGAAGCCCTCCCAAGGAGGGGTCTTGGTGCTGGGCCTGTCCCTGGGTTCCACCTCGATGTCCAAATGGACCTGGAACAGGTCTGGGTACTTCTCCTGGATGTCGCAGGCATCCAAGTCATACCTGACAGAACAGTCATATGGGAAAGAGGAAGTTGTTAAGAAACCACATGATAGAAGGTCTGACTTAAATTAGAAGTACTAACTAATACTAACATTACTTTAACATAATTTTAAGACAGCAACAAGCTGTTAGTCTTAGAAGAGCCAACAACATCAAGCAAGTAGAAGGAAATCTGCAGCAGTGAATGGATGATTTTCATTTGAAACTGCTGTAAGGTTCAGGGAAGTATACATACTTGGCAAACTTGACAGTGGTCGCATTTCTGGGCACAAAGCCTGTGTGGAACTGGATCTGAAACATTTTCATGGATGCCATCTGAAACGGAACAGTATAAAATACAGAATGTGAGTAACAATGAGTGCTCAGCACAGCACTGCCTCCACTTCAACAAAGATGCTTTATATGCTAGAGTTGTCTCTGATATTTTTGTAGAATCCAATGTACTCAGTTTGTGTGTATGTATATACCTTGGCCTGTAGCCGTCCTCCCAGTGTAGATCTTGCATGATAGATCACCACCAGTACATCTCCCTGGACTATAACATTGAGGGGAATCTCCGCTCTCCCGTCCTCAATCTTAAAATCCCTGAAAAGAACAAACAAGAAGTGAATGAGAGAAGGAATGAAAAGGATTGTTTTAATACATCTTTAAAATTAAAGACAAGGTGACAGACAGCCTTAAACGTACCTCATCTTGTCGTACTCCTGTGATGTTGTGAGGACCCTCTCGTCTCCAACATAAACTTCACAGAATGGCCTGCATCCATTACGCTGCTTGTTGAACAGTGGCACGGGTGTCATGGTGATGGAATGAATAATTATAGGCTTGCTGTGGGGAATGATGGGTTCCTCTGCCATCATGTCACACATATACTCTATATACCTGACAATCAAAAGCAAGATCGAGATTATACATTGTTTATAGAATATTTTGTTTCTATACAGAAATTTCGACACTGAGGGATCAATAAAGTACCTACTCGACTCTAAAAGGTACATATGACCCACAAACCCCTAAACTAACCTCCCTTTTTATACCTTTGAATTTATTTATGTGTGGGTGAGTGTTTTTATACCTCTTGTGTGAGGGTGCTATGCCAGGTGGGCAGCGTTTCATTGAGAACATGTAGACAGCAGCCTCAGCTGTGGTGAAAAGGCGACAGAAACACAGGAAGGAGCACACTGCCACCGCTGATGCTGCCCTGCCATCCTACAAAAAAAAAAGGTGAAGGTCACAAGGATATTCCAGGTGTCATCATTTTATTTCTCTTTGTCATTTTATGTCTCAATCTTGGCTTCCTCTTACCCCCTCTCCCCATCTGAGCATGCATGAAGGACAAGACACTACTTACCAGACAGTGTACTATACAGATGTTTCTCTGATCTTGTTTGAGCCATAGATGCATGTTCTTACAAACATTGTAGAGACTGCGGAGGTTAGGGGCACGACGCACTTGCCAGTTACACTCTGAAACCTACACACCCAGAAAAACAAACAAACAAAAAAAACACTTGTATGGCTGCACATCAGTGAAAACATAACCCTACTTGTATGTGCACGCACACACACAAACACATTTCCTACCCTGTTGTGGAATCGAGAAGGTCTGTACGATCGCTTGGAGAGGTTGTAGACAGCATAGTGGCCAGGATGACGTGAATCCAGGAACAGGCGAACTTCCTCAATGTTGTTCTTTATCGCCGACTCCACCCCCTCTGCTGGAAAAGACATGACTAGACACACACAGACACATTTTGGAATTAATTTTACACAATGACTAAATTGCAAAATTATATAGCAACAGAATATTAAAAATAATTGAGTAAGTAGTAGAAGTTGAAATGAGATTTATAAAGGGTACTATGCTTACCTGCTATTCTCGAGGTAATGTATGAAATGTCTAGGTCCCCTTTGGCATAGCTGTAAGGGAAATTACAAGTATACTTATAAAAGAAGTAGGTACACAACACAATTCACTGCAAGACACAGAAAGGGACATAAAACAGTCTGACTAAGGTCTGGGAGACTTCACAAATATAGCCATTAACAAACAGCTGAGTAACACAAGGTGGTTCAGAGACCAGAAAGCTTTGTGTTATGATACACTAAAGTGAGTTTTGAAAGTAGAATGTTGCAGGATGAAGATGCACATGATCAAGAGAATTTCAATGAGTTTTGATGGAGGTTGTCCCAAAAAAAAACTAACTAGACTAAGATGATCCCCAGTTCATCTTTACTCCAAATCAATAAATAACACATGCATCTGGCAGATGCTTGTTATCATGTGTGAATACATGCAGAGAAATCCTTAGTGTTATGCTTTATTAATACATAATTGATAACAGTTAATGAAAATCCTACTGGAACAATGACAACAGCAGAAATAATGGTGCACGATTCCTAGTACATTAAAATTTAGTACAAAGTGTGGGCCAAGTGATCTATGCTGATGACACTCAAGTTTTATATGTATGGTGGTAGAACACAGATGATGCTAGTATGGATACAAATGTTGCTGAAATAGTGATTTCATAAGCAGTGGAACCACTTTAAACCTTTTAAACTACCATTCACTCATTCATATAGGCCAGTGATTCCTAACCAGGGGACACGTATAACATTGCATGGGGGCACCATGGAAAGATTGTAGCTCAACTAAATATTACAAGTTAAATATATATACATACACACATACATAAGACCCACGTAGTGAGTGGGAGAGATGAATTTAATACATGAAATGCACGTGTTGCATGTGCATGAAAAGCAAATGAACAGACACATTAAAACTGTTAGAGGTGATAAATGGCTGAAAGTACAGATACACAGTTCAAATGTTAGCTGCAAGTAATGGGTAAAAAGTTACAATAGTTAGCTTAAGGTAATAAATAGAAATTTTGCTATAATGATTAGCTAAAAATAATTGGTTAAGTAGGAAGCTAAAATTAATGGTTAAACAGTTATGTGCAACAGATAAAGGCTGAAAAGGCTGAAATCACAAAGTCATGGATGAACAGTTGTAAAAGTTAGTCAAAAGTAATGGAATGGTTGAAATAATGATGGTAATGAAGAAGGGTTACTTCAGTCTATCTGATGGGGCTGGTGGGGCTAGTCTGTCAGTAAAGGCTGGGGACCACTGATATGTGCTGTCTAAAGCTGACAGTTTTAGATAGCCGTCAGCTTTAGACAGCTAAAACTTCAAAAGCATGTTTGCCCATATACATTAAACACATATACTGTACTAGTGGTATGACAACAGCTGGGAAACTGCATTTGCACTGCTTTAATAAAGACATCTTATAATGCATCTTGTCAAACAAAGAAATATTGCTACATCATCACTTCTTATTTTATCACAATTTCATTGTTAAACTTGTTACTAACAATTTCCAATACCATGCATAGAGAGTATTGTTCTCCTCTCTTTTTTATGTGCTGATGCACTTTACCAATAACTGGACCCTTCCATTCAGTTTTAAAACAATACTCATCTGTCCATTCACATCATGCTCTGCATTCATTTGAGTTATTGAATAAGTTAGGATCAGCAACTGTGATGACAATAGACACAGCACAAAAACAGCTTAGTAGGTTCTAAATCAAACACAAACTGTGGAACACGCAGACCAGAGCATGAATTGATGCACTTCTCTGACCCATATTTACCTTGGGTTGCTAGGTGATGGACACATAGTGGGACCATGAGGGATTGGGGCAGAGGAAAAAAACAAAAGAAACAAAACAACCAAACTAATGGAACAAACTGATGTTAGAATAATCAAATGAAACATCAAATTTTGGCTCATATAGATAAAGTGGAAATTACAGGAACACTTTGTTTACTTTCAACTCTTGTATACACATGCCTGTCTATAACATCTTCAATAAACACTGTCAGTAATTTCTGCGGTGTCACTGACTGGTGCAGCCAAGTGTAGCAGAGAAGATCCCTCCCATCATCTACTGACTTACTGACTGGTGGTCGCTGGTGAAATAACTACAAAGAAAGATAATCTGGATAAAGTTTCATCTTCCCCTGGGACAAACCCAACTGCAAAGTCTGCCATCAGGGTGGAGAACCACACAAAGCAGCAAACTGTTCCTTTTAAAAAGGTAAACCTGGGGGCAGGGTGGGTGCGAGTATGGTTACATAGACAATTTGCAGGTGTATAATCTTCCACATTTACTTCAGATTAATGAAACTGATGAAACATGATGACAACAACATATTGTTCCTTTGCTATGGTATTTGATAGATTCCTGCGTTGAAATTTCCTTATAGAATCATGAGCGCATACTTCTAAACATAATGGGAATCATGCTATCCATTTAGCAACACATGCCCATGCTATGTCAAGTGGGGAAACATTGATATAAATAAATCAGTGCTAGCTGATCTGTTATGTCAACAAAGATTAACTGCGCACATGCCTTAAAATGGAATATGATTAAATACAACAATAACATTGATGGTAAAAAGGTTAGGGCATCTCACCTAGCTACTGACTGGATGACCTTAGAGGAGGTGTCCTTTATGTTGGTCAGGAAGCGCTCTGTTCCTCCCCTTAAGATATCCAAAAGGCCACTGCCTGACTGATCAGGATCATAGATGCCTATAAGGGAAGACATAATGCTAAACATGATAAATTTCCAGACACTGTCATAGCATAAACACTGACACTGGGTTAAACTACATAAAATAAGGTCAAAGTTAAACAGACCTAAATATATTAGAAACGCTCAGGTTACAAAACCAAAAAGTAAATGTTATTGTCTAGAAAAATATATTCTATACATGTCGATATGGGCATGAAGTGTCAAAAAAGGTACATTGTGAGTTACACTCATGAAAAACACACGCAAACACCTGACAAGTGGTTTAACAACAAGGGTTCAAAGGAGTCTTCTGATTTACTTTCACATAAATCCACTGGATAAAATAAGTTGCTTTCAGCTGAGGTGAAGCTGCCTGATGTTGAGATACAACAGACAGATGACTCAGACCGATGTAACATTATGAATGGGCAG